GGGTGCTCAAGGGTAAACAGGAGAAGTCAAGTCTGGTTGCTTTAGGCAGAGTAGATCACTGGGAAGATAGCTGAATCAGGACAGAGGCTGGCCAAGAGGGCATGAGTGGAATCCAAGTGTGATGGGAACCAGAACCACAGCCAGGACGACTCTGGTGAGGACCCTGTGGGTGGCATCGTGGCCCCCGCCACTGCCTGTCCCAGGCCTGGCACAGCCCGCAGTGCTGCCATCCCCAGACCCGAGATGCAGCTGTACCTCTGCGTCTGTGCTGGTGCTAGATGGCTTCCTGAAGCTGCCCGTCAGCTCTCCACTCCCAACGTCTGGGAGTTGAGTGCAGCAACACCTGGTCGGCTGGGCTGGGGCCAGCTGGGTGCACAGGGAGCTGTGCGCCTCGAGACTCCGCTGTCCTGCTCCTTACCTGTCCTAGGATGCTGGCCGGAAGTATGTCTTGGCATTGGGCGCGGAGAACATCCAAGTGTGCAGTAACTGCTTGGACTCAGAGACCCAGGCGTGCTGTCTTTCCAAAGAACCCTTGACCACTGGAAACTATGGAAGCTGCCCTCCTTGTGTAGTTTTGCTGGTTTGACTTTAGACCGTCGTCTCCGTATGGTCCCTGTGATTTAACTTCCGTATGTGCATTTCTTCCCTCCTCTTCCTCTACACACCAAGTACGAACGCAGATCCCCTGAATGTCTCCACAGACCTTGCTGTCTTGATTCACGTGGGGACACAGCCCCCTAATCCACCAAATGATTCAGCGCTGGACTTGTTTCTCAAGGCATGGCAGGGAGTGTTCCGCTGACGCACCATTTTCTCTGAACAGTGGGCGTGCAGGGCCATTGTCTTCATTTAGCTGAGATGGGAGGGGCCCAACCTTTGCCCTTGGCCCCATAAAGCTGAATTCCAACCACAGCGTGACGCTGCCCTGGCCTTGTGAGATGGCACTTAAATGTGGCGATGCAGCTGAATTATTAAAGGAAGATTAGGAAGAGAGAAACCACAAGGAGATGCTTGTGCTTAAAAAAAAATCAGAATGATGGTGTCGGGGAACTCCAATAATTTGAAAAACACACCCTTTGCCTCTTTTAATATGACTCCCCTTGCTGGAATGTCTAGAAGTTTCTGAAAGAAAGGTCGGGAAAGAACCCTGTGGCAGCGGCTCCTCCCACAGCAGTTAGGACGCAGGTCTTGTTGGCCATGGCTGCAACACAAAGATTGGTGAGGACCGGGTAAATGCAGAAACCTTACCGAGGTCTTTATCCTTGGCCCGGTAACTGCACTTGCAGAAATCTTGCCTTAGGAATAGTCAGAGATGCGGAGATCAGGAGATATGCAAAGGAAATTTATCCACAATGATACTGATCCAAAGGCTAATTTTAATAGTAAGAATTGGAATCAATATAAGTCCAACAATACCAACAATGAATACTTAGTAAGGTTTTTAAAATTATATAAAATGTGGTACTGAGTGCTTGGTAGGAACTCTCTCGTCAAACCTCAAGAGTGAAGCCCCACTGTTATCTAATTTTACAGGTGAAGAAAGTGAGTCACAGAAGGTTAAACAACTTGCCCAGAGCTGCATAACTCCACATGCTAGAACCAAGACTCGGGCGGTTTTGCCCACATCCAATGTGGTCTTTGAAACCACCAAGCTATAAGGGTTCCCCGTAGGCCAATCCCTGCATAAATACAGTACAAACGTGATGAAATATTAAATAGCCATCAGTATGATGTTTTGAATGATGTTTAATAAATAACAAAATGTTCATTATGTAACATTGAGTGAAAAAGACAGAACACACCATATTAAAGTGTATGACCTCCATAGAGTACAGATCTACACAAAAGATGTGACAAACATGAAAAATAATTGTTCCTAGTTTGTGAACCAACCAAAAACTGTACATGTGTCTTCCTACGCTTCTATACTCTCCAGCATCCTGTATTGGCACATACTGCTCGCACAGCCGAGGAAAACCCTGTAGTTGGTTTAGGAAGAAAATAAAAGGGGTGGTGCTGTCCAGCCGTGGCCCCCAGCCCCATGGGTCCAGCGCTGTGACAGGCCGGGAGAGCACTGTGAGGTCCCTTCCGGGACAGGAGGCTGTTCACTGGCGGGGCTGGTACGGGGTTTCCTCTCTGGCCGCCTCCTGGGGCTGCTGGACAAGCGCGTTACACCCTTAAAGACTGTTTCCTCACCCATAAAACGAAGATGAGAGAAGTAGCTACCTAACTGGGTGGGTGTGGGGTGCGAAGCGAGAAGGCAGGTGAAGTCTGGTGTGTGACCCGAGTGTAATTAATTAGTGCTTGCTAAACACACACCTCAAGAGAGAACAAAGCACACTTGGCCCCGTGGTAGGCACAGAAGGGCTTATGGGCAGCTTTGGGCATCATTTCTAGGAAACGAATGGAATACCAGGTCCATTTCAGTGGATTTGATTAATTTGGCCTGGTATTTGGTGAGCCAAAGAATGCATTATTAATATTATGATTTAAGTTTTTTCCAAGACTAAGACACTACATCTCCTCGAATGTGCGTGTGTTTGTGTGTGTGTGTGTGTGTGTGTGTGTGTGTGTGTGTGTACTTGGAATTGAACCCAGGACCTTTACACTGAGCTACATCCCCAGCCCTTTTTACTTTTTATTTTGAGATGGGGTTTCTCTAAGTTACTAAGTTGCCCTGGCTGGGCTCCAACTTCTGACCCTCCTGCTTCAGCCTCCCCAGGTGCTGGAATTACAGGCCTGCACCGTCACACCCAGCTAGAAAGGACATTTCTTGGTTGAAATCACTCTAAATTTCCTTCAAATGCATAGTTAGAAGCCAACTCTGGAGTTCTCTGTCTGTGTATAAACCATAAAACAATTCTTCCCAAATTAGAGATAGTCTGGGCTCCCCGAGAACATTCAAATCCGCGCTGTGAGAGAAACAGGCAGAATTTAACATTCTGTTGTGGGGACGGAATTGTCTCGTGAAGAGCAACACCATGGATATTAAATAAATAATGAAAATGCTCTGAGGCTTTCTCCCCCCTTAGACAACGCTAAGGCAATTAGAGCTGACACAGTGTTTTTCAGTTGTAAAGGAATCCGTGTGCGTGCATCTATGTTTGTGAATTCTTTCCTATGTTAAAATACTTGAAGATACTTATAAAATACTAGCAGCTGGTGAATTAAGGGAGTCCAGTTAGGTTCTTTTAGGTGCTTGTTATTCTTCTGTTTAAATGTCTTTATTATAACTTTTGCTTGTGTAATGAGGAATGTTACATATGCCTTTAAAAGAAATGACCCAGCCACTTGGTGGCAGTGTACGGGTGACAAATGAGGTCAGTATGGGTCCCTGTCCATCCTGTGCTTAAAAATGTCATTGACTTGATTTCTTCTCTGACAGTCTTATGAGTTGTCTTATTCAGATATCTGATTCTTTCTAAAATTATCCTCTCCTAATTAAGTACCTCTTTTAAATGACTTTAATCTAATTTCAGTGAATGCATCTAGTTGATTTGAAACCATGATAACAAATAGACTCTAAAAGGAGACTTCGTTTATTCTCCATTAGGGCTAATAAAGCCCTGTCTGCTATGAAAATTATTTTTACATGATGCAAATTAATAACTGAATAAAGTTTCATTGCAAATAACTACCTGCTGCTTATACAGCACAATTACGTAAACCTCTGTTAAGAGCCAACCTTGTCACTTACTGCTTTTAAATAAAAATGCTAATTTTAAAATTATTAAGAGTAAAAATAGAAATAATAGAGCAATGTACACTGCAAATCTGTGTTTAGGCCAAGCTGAACGCTCTGCTGGGTTTTACTCTGTTTCTAGCTTCAGCGTCTGGGATCATGCAGCTGCAGACTTCAGCTTGCTCTGACTGGAGAGGACGTGGATTTCGATGAGTAACCCTGGCCATCGGCCATCAGGGTTGTAGCCCTCGAATATGCCAGGGACACAGGCCAGGGGGAGAAGAAACTCAGTGAAGCCAGAGAGAAGCTCTGTTGGGTCACAACTCAGAAGGATGCTTTCCTCCTGGGGAGAGAAGCCAGAATAAAAACAGGAAAGGACTTCCGGCTTCTCTAATGTTTTCACCTTCGAAAAGCCCTACCCATTTTTCTCAGGAAATTGCCCTTCAAGAGAAAAGTAGCCATTTCCAAAGATCCATGGGAACCTTTTCACTGAAACTGTGAGGTCCATTTTTCCAGGAGAGTGGCAGGGACCCAGTAGCTTGTTGTCTAAGGCTGTGATATCTCAGCAACTGTCAGGGACACCTCACGTTGTGATTCCCCCAAAAGAATAGCTTTGCAAAGAATTGAACCCCAACTTCAGAAAGCCCGAACAAACAGGGCTTGAGTCCCTCTCAGGGACGCAGAGCTTAGAACATCTTCAGGAATGTCCCTGGGCACATTGCATCCTTGAAGTCACCTCTGGCAGTGGTAGCTTTTAGTTACAGGAGGGGTGGACAAGCAGTGTCACCATAGGACTCCTTTGAGGTCCCAGTGAAGGTCACTTCACCCCACACAGGTGAGAGCTTTCATCAGCAGGCAAAGCCAGGAAGGCCAGGGTCCTCACGGGGAGGGGGTGGAGTGGGGTGTCAAGGACGTCCCTTCTGCCCATGCCATCATCCAGCATGTCTACTCATCAAAACCAAGCTGCTCCTGGGGAGCCTGAGAGGGCAACGGCCTCCCCAGAGTGTGCCAACCCTGGAGGCTTCAGGGAAGGGGATCTGTATGGCATCATCTGCTGGAAGCTCCTTGGTATTTGTCGCCTGGAAGCCTGGTGAAGTGAGGGACACATGTTGCAGTTTGCAAGCCCTGGTAGTGTGGCTGTCCTTGCAGATCTACCCAAGGGGAAGATGTGCTCTTGAAGGCCACTGCTTTGCTTCCCACTTTCCAGCCATCAGAGCTCACCGTTGGCTTTGATTAGCTCTCACCGGGGAGACAGTCTCCAGGGAGCCTGGTCCCAGCAGGAGCCCCAAGGTGCTGACACCCTGTTCCTTTGTGTCAGTCCCCCAGGTCACCCCGAAGTCGCTGCAGCGAGATGCTCGGGACTCGGACTCCGGTCTCCTCGTTGCTTCTGTCTTACAAAGTCACCTGACTTCCGGTAAGAAAAGGCCACTGGGGCTCTTTGGGGAGTTTTAGCAGCCTGAACCGCTTGCACTGAAAAATCGCATCAGGCGGAAGGGTCTGAGTAATAAGATGTGCTCTACGCCTTCTGAGAGAAACACTCCTCGAAGCACAACAGTTTGCTTGCAGCTGAATTTGAGAGCTGGTTTGGGTGGATTTTGCCAGTTCTTTCAGTGGCATGGATACATTTCATTTCAGTACTTACTGGATCGCAAGTCCCAAAAACTTCTTTATGAAAATATCACTCTCTGCCACATGCTAGCAGTTAATATGCATCACCTTTGCCGGTCTTCAAAACAACCAAATGAGACAGGTGTTACCTATCTGTTTTATAGATGAGAAAACTGAAGCTCAGAGAGGGTGAGCAACATGTGCTACCAACAGCAGCTGAAAACTCAAATCCGTTCTTTTAAATCTTGCAATCTAGCCAGGTGTGGTGGTGCACGCCTATAATCCCAGAGCTAGGGAGGCCCAGGCAGGAAGATCACCCTGAGTTCAAGCCCAACCTGGGCTACATAATGAGTTCAAGGCCAGCCTGAAATACATAGTGAGACCCTGTCTCCAAAACCCAAACCAAACAAAAATCTTGCAATCTATGCTCTTTCTCCTACATAAACCAGCTCCTGTTTTATTTGTTAGTATCACTGGGTATTTCTTATTAATAAGCATATACCCAAATGATTTAGGCAAAAAAATGTTTGATCAGGTTGTACAACGGGCAAATATAACTCTAAATAGAAATTTGAAATTGAAAAGCTTTAGGCATGACCATTTCTCCCTGGGTGGACCCTTTACCTCCTGGCGTAGAAATCTGCTGGAACTGGCATAAGAACGGATGTGGCACACTGATATTCTTTGCCCTTTAGTTTGTTTACTCAGCAAGCACTCGCTAAACATCTCCTGTGCTGCAGTCTGCTCTGGGTAGTGGGAAACCCGCAGTGCAGGTCAGATGGACACAGCCCCATCTTCCAGGATCCCATTCTAGACGCCCGGGAAACAGGCCAAGAGCGCAGGGCTCTCGGGTTGACAGACACAGATGCGGGATGGGTGTTTGTCCGGCGCACACCCCAATCATCTGGGGGATGGCAGAGGCCAGGGACTCGGCAGCTGTGTCAAACAGAAATTATCACCTCTATTTTATTCGAGAGGAAACCTAAGCCCTGAGCCCTGGGCACCAGCGGCACAGCACTGATGAGTGGCCAAGCCCCACTCTGGTCTGGGTTCCCACCCCTCCTTCACCCCTTCCAGCACGCGGTAACCTGGAAATTCTCCACCCGTTTCCAAGCACTGCTGCCCAAAGCGAATGGCAGCCCGTAACCCCGGGGGCTTGAACTGCTCACCAGTAGCTCCTTAGCCCCAGGGGAACATGAATTCCCTCTTCCAGTAGGGGACAAGCTAGCTAAAGCTCTGCAGGCAGCTGCCTGCCAACTGGGTCTAGGAGAGAGGCCGGAAGCCTGGAACCCTCCAGAGAGTAGAAATAACCAGAGTTATGGATCCAACAAAAAGGGATGAAGGAGGTGGATGGAAGGAAATCAACACCCACTATGGCCCTAGGCCAAATTCCTGTCTAAGTCAACTCTTAGGTATCAGCCGGCCAGACACCTGTAATCCTAGCTGAGGATTGGGAGGCTGAGGCAGGAGGATCACCTTGAGTTCAAGGCCAGCCTGGGCTACATAGTGAGTTTAAGGATAGCCTGGACTACAGAGCAAGACCCTGTCTCAAAAAAAAACTCTTAGGTATCTCCTAAATTTAAAAATAGAGCTTTTTCATGTGCTAGGAAGAAAATGTGATGAATAAAGTATATTAATTCTTGGAAGATCTCAGAAGATCAATACAACCTTAAAATGCTAGAAAAACATTGTAAATGTACGTGCAAGATCTAGGGCAGTTTTGGTGTCTTCCGTAGAGCACACAAATGTCCTTTCTCAGAAGGAAAAAGTTCATAGTGATGAGAAGCCTCATATCAACTCTGTCTCACACAAAGGTTAAAAAGATAAAAACCCACCCTTTGTTGTGGCTGTGGCCAGCATCAGACCTTGTCACAGCCATCGGGAATTGTCACCTGTGTCAGAGAAACCAAATGTGGTCCATCGCTGAGGGCATTCAAATAAAATGCGCACGCACAGACAACCACATGTGCAGCACGTCTGGAAACCCGACGTCAGGGCACGCAGCCGCTTTGCTCAAACCGAAAACTCCTTCCTGACCCAGAGTGTGGAGTGGAACTCAAACCCAGAGCCCAGCACGAGGCTGGCTCTGTGGCCTTTCCCTTTTCCTCTGGGATCCATGCCCTCCACTGAGGCAGAGTAGAGGGCCCTGTGCTGAGGCCAGCATCCCTGGAACACTAACGCTTAGTTAAAATTACTTTTCTTTCCTTTCATTAGACAACAGGCAAGATGTTGGACTTCTGTCTGGAATGCTCTTCTTCGCCATCATGCTGTCGATCCTCTCTTTGATTGGGATATTTAACAGATCGCTGCGAACCGGGTAGGTCCTGTAGAGTTTCTGTTTTCTGATTATACATCTGTGCTATCAAAATTCAGCAATTTACAGACAAATGCATTAACATTTGTACAGAAAAACAAAAATAAAAGCACAATATTTGGTGAGTACATCCAGTGCCAAGCTCTGTACAAACATCATTTATTTCATCCTCACCATGACCCCACCCGGAAAGCTCAGGGCAGTTTTACACATGACCGGGAGACGCTAGGTGCTTAGCCCAAGGTCACAGAGCACAGCTAGAACTCCAGGCACAGCTGAGACAGGGCGACCTCTCTCCTGCTCTCCACCTTTTCATTGTGCCTCAGCGTCACCCACGTGCCTGGATTCTTTTTGTTTGTTTGCATTTGGTTTTTTAAGACAGGGCCCCGGTCTGTAGTTCAGCTGCCCTTGAACTCACTACGTGACCCAGACTTGCTTTGAACTCTCAGTGATCCTCCTCCCTCAGCCTCCTGTGTGCTGGGGTCACAGGCATGCGCCACCATGCCTGGCTCATGCCTGGGATTCTTTGGAATGGTTAAGACAGGAACTGCCTTGAGTTCTCCCCAGATTCAATATGGAAAGAAGTGTGGAATGGGCCACTTCATGTGGTCTTTAGGACTCCAGCCTCAAAGCACCTCTTGCTTCCTTCAATCCATTTTCCCCCAATGTGGTAATATTTGAGGGAAGTTACTGAAAATGATGTAGGAAAGCAAGGCCTTTGACTTTCTAAACTTGACAGATGTGTTCAGCACTTCTGCAATTTAATAGTCGCTCAGCGTGGCTGTTTCCCACTGGATGGACTTACACACCAACGCTGACTCTTTGCCAAATTGGCCCTGAGTTTCTTTCTCATCATCTTTTGCCTTGTGACATAATCTTCCTTTTAAATGTATAATCACAATGCAGTAGAAAGATGATTTTAAAAAGCTATTCTAAATAAAGTACACTAATGACTTCCTATCCACATGCTCAGAACTTGAGAAATATTTCAAAATTTAAATTGCATGCTAACAGATCCCTGCTGTCCTTGTGAGGAGGGAAAACTAACATAGAATTTTATTTTAGGTTGTATTAAAATATATGTAATTAGAAAGCCCTTGGAAATCTCTTCATGTTCAAACTAGAGCTCCATAAAAACATTAATAGTCATACTGTTATCCAAAGAGTCCTAGTTAGTTTAAATGACATTCAGTTTGCTACTATAAGTAACATAAAAACTAACTCTCAGTTGGTAATAACAAGGAAATGGAGTGATTCAGGGTTAATTTAATTATTTAAATAAGTACTCTTTATAAACAAGAGATAATTTCAGTATAGTGGTTTTGCATACAAGCAGGTATTTGTTTTTTCCAATTTTTATTTTTCATTAGCACATGTTTGCAGTACGTAATGGTCACATTCCTTGTTGGGAGGTGGTCCATGTGCATAACATATCTCTTTTTTTTTTTAGCTTTTTATTTCCAGCAGTTTTTAGTTTGGTAAATAAATTTACAATCTTTGTTTTTGTTTTGTTTTGTTTTATTGGTACCGGGGATCCAACTCAGGACCTTGCGCTTGTGAAGCAGGTGGCGGAACCACTGAGCTAAATCCCTGGCCCTATTTGGTCTAATTTTAAACAGAGAAAGAGTGCAAATGGGTAAAAAACCCCAGAATCATAAAACACGGTATAATACCTGTAAAGAAATCATTTTTAGACTAAAGTCCAAGGTCAAACAGGGCTTGGGAAGTTCCTTCAGCGCTCTGGCTGGTGCTTAGTAAAAGTTCTTGGCGAGCCTGCGCGGGGCGATGCCCGGGCCCTATCTGTCTCAGGTCCCGGTCAGCCGTGAGAATGAGCCCGAGGTCAGCTTGATCTCTTCCGCCTTCCCAGGACGACCACTCTGCCCAAATCCCTGTGGACTAGGGGTGTGGAAAACGCGTCTAAACACCATGGCGGTGACAAGGGGGAGCAGGACAGCCACAGCCCCTCCTTACTACCACCCGCTGCCGTCACCCCCTCAGCACCGCCCAAGAGGAAACGGCTGTCCCTGAGCCCCACGGCTGCAGGCCAGGCCCTCCAGCCTCCCGAGCCACCCCAGATGGCAGTGTGGATGCATCACAGTCGTCAGAACCCTAGCCGGGCTAATGGCAGAATCCAGGTCAGAGGAGCTGGATTCCAGAGCTTTAATGTATAGTCTCTTCTTTAAGAGTTATCGTTTCCGTGGAAAGGTCCACGAAACGTCCCTTCCGTTTTTCAGACTTCCCGCCCTGACATCGCCTGCTCACTGTGGCTGGCCACACTTAAAGTCTCCAGTTTCTCCCCCTTCTCATGAATCTAGTGTTTTTAAATCCTCCTGCTGGTTGGACAGAAGCAGAGCAACAGACCAAGTGGGGATCTGGGAAGGCACGAAGTCCACTCCTCGGTTAACTGTTGTACCGGGACGTTCTTCTCACTGCGATCGTTCTCACGTGGACGCCCTGATCCCCTTACCCACCCCCACCCCGCCCCCGCACCAGCCCTCCAGGAACATGCTTCTTCTAATGGGTCGTTTTTGTTTTTCAGAATTAAAAGAAAAATCTTACTGCTGATACCAAGGTGGCTTCGTGAACAGATTCCTAACATGGAGAACAGTAATGTTGTGAAAATGCTACAGGTAACCACACACAGTCAGACCGAACCTGGGGATGGGCCGCAAGAGTCCAGCCTGATAGAGTAGAAATCCCATTCAGATAGATCTGTGCACATATTACCATCATTAACTAGATCCAGAGATGAGCCCAAATGTGCAATGGAGTCGAGAGAAGACACACGAAGATGAGGAGCAGGGAGTGGCTTGGGGGAAGGGTACAGCATAAGCTGAGGGGAGGGAGACAGAGAGGCGAGGAGAGCATGCTGGGTAGGAGAACAGTGGCTTTGTCGAATCGAAGTGGCTGTGTTCAAAGCTCCAAGGAGCCTGCTAGTCAGCTCCTTCCCACCCTGCCTTGGCACTAGCACCTGGCAAGTTCCCTGAGAGGCTGTGCCTGAGGGAAACTCCAGTGCCACCTCAGGTGACTTCACTGAAGAGCTTCCTCCTGGCCAGGTGGCCTCCCTGCCATGGGCTCTGGGGATTGAGGTTTCTGCTCAGGAAACAGAGGAGAGCTTTCTTGGTCAGAGTGGGCTGTGAACAGGACTCACAGACCAGAAGTTCCAACACAGAGAAGCTCCGACTTCTTTCTCACAATTCTGGAGGTCAGGAAATCCAAGGTCAGGGGGTGAGATATCAGCACAGCCCTCTGGCAGATGGATGGTGGACAGGTCGACATCTCTCTCCTGTCTCTTCTTCACTAACCGCTTTCATGAGGGATCCATCCATGTGACCCAATCAGTTCCCAAAGGCTCTGCTCCAAATAATACCACATTGGCTTGAACATATGAATGGGGGAGAGGGGTTTACAGACATTCTGTCTGTAGCAGGTGACGGTAATTTTATAATTGCATTGGATGGGAATTATTTTCTCCAAGACTAATCAAATCCACTTCTCATCTAGAAAAGTCAAAGGGCTAAAACCCACATGTGTCTGGATTCTGAGCAGCTTCACACCTTTAGAACACAGCATTTATCACGACCTTACTCTCAAAATATGAGCAAAACAGGAATCTCAGCCCCTTCTTGTATTTAATCAACAAAATATTTTCTTGTAGTGAGGCTCCATACTAAGATGTAGTGCAACAAATTCTAAAGCCCAACTTTTTTTTTTTAGTTTTTTTTTTTTTTTTGAGACAAGGTCTCACTATGTAATTCAGGTTGGTTTTGTACTCACTATGTAGCCCAAACTCACCTTGAACTCATGGCAATTTTTCTGCCTCAGCCTCCTGAGTGATAGGATTATAGGTTGTGGATTAATTTTATTATTCTTTTGCTTCAGTCTCCTCTTGGGAGAATTTAATAAAGATTTGGAATCAAGTAAGGTAACAAAAGACAAAGGAAGGAAAGCACACAGAAAGATAAACAATATGGAAAAAAGGAGAGGAAATGGAAAGTCAAGAGGAAGAAAATTCCCAGCCCTTCTTCTGTTATCCAGTTGGCTCCTTTAAATGACTCTTATAAAATAAAACAATGTCTTTTTTGTTCCTAGGGAAAAAATGAATTTGTGAATAATAATTGCAGTGAACAGGTCCTTTATGTTGATCCCGTGATTACAGAGATAAGAGAAATTTTTCTCCCAGAAGAACAAAAGCCCGAAGATTACAGGAAGGAAGTGAATACAGAAGCCCAGGACCTGAGAGCATCAGTATTCACCAAGAGCACTGTGGTGTACGTTCCTGATCTGGGCGCTGGATACAAGCCCCAGAGCTCAAATTTCCTCCCTGGGGGAAACCATGTTAGCAGCACTGACGAAATCGATCCCTCAACCCCTCAACCAACAGTGGACTCCTTAGACCTAGGAAAGAACCCCAGGTTTAAAAACTATCCTCAGTTTTCTTTTTCTGTCTCCAGTATGAATTCACTAAGCAACACACTAATTCTTGAAGAATTAAGCCTTATTCTCAATCAAGGTGAATGCCGTCCTCCTGACGTACAGAACTCAGACGAGGATGAAAGCACTGTGCTTTTAGAAAGTGATTCACCCAGTGAAACTCTCCCAAATCAGACTCTACTGCCGGATGAATTCATCTCCTGCTTGGGGATCATGAATGAGGAGTTGCCGTCTATTAACCCTTACTTTCCACAAAATATCTTGGAAAGCCACTTCAGTAGGATTTCACTCTTGAAAAAGTAGGGCTTGTAGCCAAAGTCTATTGGGAAGGCTGCCTGGAAGTAGGAAGGCGGCTCTTCCCCTCAGTAGAAATGCAATCTGCCTCCAAGATCCCAAAGTGGAACTTGCTTCATGGTCACACAAAAAAAGATGCATTAGTAGGGAAACCAACACATTTTTAAAAAATCAAACTACTTCCTCTTCCTATTTTCCTTCATTGAAATGTACAGAGTAGCTCTGCTCTGTCAAGGAAGGATAAATAACACAAGATGTCCGGTGGTGAAATAAATGCCAGAAGCCATTCTTTAAAATCAAAACATCAACATTTGCTTGCAAAGGGAGAAGCAAGCTTAATTTTCATCTCATCCCTTCAAATTCTCTTGAGTAGATTTGTTTTTTAGGGTTTGTTTGTTTGGTTTTGTTTTAGGTACTGGGGAACTCAGGCCCTTGCACTTGCAAGACAGGCAACAGCACCACTGAGCTAAATCCCCAGCTGTTGATTAGATTAAAATACAGCTCCAAAGAGCGAACTCAGTCAAAGAAGAAAGAAAGAGGTAGTTGAGTAGCATATGTGCTGTAACATTTCTTCCACATCTTTCTATTCAGGTGTGAGAGATTTGGTCTCAGTGTGCTTAGACCAAGAGGCGTAAAACAATGAAGTGTAGGCACCCTGAGTTCCCTTTCTGCATTTGAGTTAAGAGTGGTGGTGCTGTTCTGTGACATCACTGGCCCATCATTTAAACTATCATGGAGTCCAGGGGAGGTAGAAGATGCAGGATCAGCAAGAGCTAATTAATTTTGGCATCATCTATCTATTAGATATATCAAAAATTATTGTTAAAACAGACCTGTGCCTGGAGCTGCAATGCAGACACCCGCCACCCCTGCAGACATCACTAGCTGATCACTGCATGCCTTGATTTCCCTTTCCTAGCTCTCTATGGCTGCTTTACTCCAAAATAGAACATCACCACAGTGTGAAAGGCTCATCTCCTGCCATGAACTCAGTTTTCTATGTTGAAACATAAATATATTTGTTATACTTTATATATCCTGCAAGGAATCTGTTTCACATCCCTAATGGAATGCTAATGTTAAATATCTTGATGATTTGGGTGGCGGGGTACTGGGGATTGAACTCAGGAACTTGTGCTTGTCAGGCAGGTGGCAGAACCACTGAGCTAAGTCCCTGGCCCAATATTTTGATTTGTATCATATCCATTTGCCTTATTCTTCTCCAAAGAGAGGATCATAATGAAACAAAGAGGCAAGGAGTATTGGAGACAGACGGAGATTCATCTTTGATCTTTAACAACCTGGTGTGGACGTTTGGTGACGTGAGAATAATGGTTTTATAAAGCGTTTCAACGTAATCGTAATTTACTGACGTTGAAAAAGCTTTTGCCAACCTGGAAGGCAAGCAGCGCTGTTTGATCTCTGGCCAGTGCTCCCACTGCCGTGCAGCCTGTGTGAGGTCTTTGTCCTGACCCCGGAGTGGGTAGGCAGCTGCCTCCCCTTCTCTGGTGCCTCCCACTCCATAGCACTGTCCACACAGAAGGGGCCAGACAGACCCCATCTTCACAGCCAACTTTTGGGTACAGGGGATTGGAAACCATACTTGGCCACTGCCCCAGCTCATGGGGAAGTCTCAGATGCTTTATCACCTCACAATGCAACCTTGGCACAAAATCTGGGATTTTCTTTCCATAATTATTTTATTTAGCCAGCATTCACTGGACCATTGACTAGCCTTACCATGAGCAAGGCACTTTGGACACTATAGATGTTAACACAGCCAGCCAAGTCCCTGCAGCCTGGGGCTTACATTCCAGGGGCGAGAGGCATCCCATAGAGGGCAGTCGTTGGCTTCAAAGACTTTGCATTTTAGGGCCGGGGATTTACCTCAGCAATTCTGCTGCCTGCCTCGCAAGCACAAGGTCCTGAGTTTGATCCCCGGTACCAAAAGAAAAAAAAAAAAGACCTTGCAGTTTAGTGGGGAAGTAGCTGGGGAAAGGAAGGAGGGAAGCAGAAAGAAATACAGAAGAAAAATAACGATCAGTAAGTGCTAGCCTAGAAAGGTAGGGACAGTGAGGCAGAGAGCAGCCCATGTGGCACTGGGTGGCCAGGAAAGCCCCTTCGCAGAAGTGACGGAGATGTCGCCCCCTGAATCTCAGGTAGGAGGCAGCGTGTGAACACCAGCTTGTCATATGCATGTCCCTTCCGTAGGAAAACGCTGCCCTGGCCCCGTCTTTTCCTCCTTCCTCTCGTATGCATGGCCCTCAGCCGCCTCCCACCCTGGCCTTCTTCAGCCAGCATTTGCTGTAGATCCCGGGGACAGGGACATCTTTCCTGCCTCTGGTTTGCTCTGGGGCCTATGACCAACTTCCTTTCTCTGAATCTCACAGTATGTATCATTTTGTGATTTCTAAATGGACATGTCCGGCTGGGTGGTGTGGAGGAGGAGGAGGAGGAGGAGAAACAGCCTCTCCAAGTGCCAGCCAGAGGGGAAAGGGGCAGAAATGCAAAGAAAGCAGCAGGCTCAGCCTCCGGGATGCTGACACAAAGCAGAGGGACACTGCTCTGGACAACACCAAAGCTGGCTAAGGAGTGTCCAGTTCTCTGCTCTGCTGCTGCCTTCCAGCCTCCCCTTCCCCTTTCCTTGGTAGGAGCAGCAGGGGAGGCATGCGTGCAGCAGGCTGGGCGGCTCTTTACGTGGAGCGTTGCATGTTGGTTTCCACACTCTTTGTCTTTTTTTGAAAGTAGGACATTTTTCACCAGCGTCGGAAGTGGGATGGAAGACGTGAGAAGGCTGAAGACACACCCGTTGGGTGCCGTGGGTTGCTGTTTCCCTCTCCCAATGCATCCCAGGCACTTCTTACACTTTTGTCATCCTCCTATTGACATCGAGATGGGACACGGGAGGTGGCAGAGGGGAGAGGTCTTCCGAAAGAGATCTTAGCAAGTGATCTTTTATCTCAACACAATCAGAATCCCAAAGTCTAGGGCAGATGAAGGCAGATATGCTGGAGCAGAGGCCGGGGTTCGATGGCCTGCTCCTCTGCCCTCCTCTGAGTCCCTCAGGGGCTGCTGTCTTCATCCTCTGTCATCGGGGTCCTGGGCAGCCTGGAACTCGGGGCTGCAGCGCCTTCTCCACCTGAGCTCAGCTGCTGCTCAGGCCCCACAGGCAGACCCCCGAGAGCCCTGAGTGACTGGCCAAGGGCACTTCACCTCTAACAGAAGCAGAGGCAGCGCCATGTGCAGTGTCATTCCGCTTCTTTCCAATCACTTTATCATAAATGTCTGGGCTTTGTTCAAGTTTGTGTCCTTCTGGGATCATGTTGGGAACATGATTAGAGTTTATGAACCGAGAGACTATTGAACCCTGCTGCGGTTTCTCTCTTTATGAAGTAATTACACCAATTACAGGAGGTTGTGTTTTAATGGGAAATGTTACCCATTTGGCAGACCCCATTGATTTAAAATAAAAGAAATGATTAAAAACAATTTATGGACCTCTCTCGGGTGAAAGCATGAAACTAATATAAAATAATTGGATTCTGATTCATGGAATGGATTGTGTACAACTTTTGTGGATGCCATAGCTAAGGCAAATTTACAAAACCACTAATACAGGTTTGAGAGAATGTTATTACGTTCTTTCCCACTGCTAAGATTACACCATTAAATCCCAATTAATGTTTCACATGAGGCTCTCTTAGCCATTTTGCTAATTTCATTTTTCAACTTAATTTGCAATCACCACTCTATATCTTTTATATCCAGAATTTCCATTAACTTTCTGAAGATGTATTCCCTTTACGCTCATGTTCAGAATACCAATCATTACCCAATTCTCATAATTAGCATTTAGCAGCGCATTAAGAACTTAACTGTAAATGGTCAGTTTGATTTGGAACCATGAGAGTATTCTGGCCTGGCTAAGAAAAAATAAAAGCAACCCCCGCCCCCCGCAAACCCACTAAGCTAAACAGCAGTGTCGCAGAAACCAGGATCTTCTCTCTGATCATTGTTTCCAAAATTCCAAGAAAACAGTGTGCCATCTCTTACAGACAAAGCTAAAATTAGTGCCTCTGCCGAACACAGGAAGGAAATCATAAATAGTCGAGCGCTAGGAACCAAGTGTGAATGCGGAAGTCAATAAAACCTACTGGTTTTTTTACCGTGCACGTCCTGCTGCCTGAGAATTTCATTAGCCAAGCATGCAAGAGAAAGAATACAATGGTGAAATAAAGAGAGAGCATTTTATTTTTAAATTACATGTAATTTATGAAAATACATTTTTTTAAAAAGTCAAAGCGATAGGGTGCAAGTGTAGCAGAAAGTGTCAACTCCCCTCCGTGCCTGCCCTTCACACCCCACCCTGCCCGCAAAGGTCTGGGCTCTCAACCACGGGTGGGCTTTTTTATTTAAATGACAAAAATGTAGCATTGTTCTGTGACTTGCTATTTTTCACTTTACAAGGTACCTTGGAAATCTGCACTTTTTATTATGCGCAGCTTTGCCTTATTCTTTTAAGCAAGTGTGTAGTGGTCCACAGAATACGTGCAGCATGGTGCATCTACCTAGCCCAGTACTGGACATCCAGTTGTTTCCCAGTTTTCACTACTGCACCCACTCCACATGTCCTCATACATTGATGAGAATTTTGTAAAGGGGACACTGTATGGGAGGACAGATTCTTTTTTGTTGTTTTTTGGGTTTTTTTGCTTTCTTTTTTGAGACAAAGTCTTGCTATGTAGTGCAGGCTGGCCTTGCTCTCCCTGCCACTGATCCTCCTGCCTCAGCTTCTCAAGTGCTAGGATTACAGGAGTGTGTGCCAGATTCTTAAATGTGGAATTTTTGGGTCAAGAAATAAAATCATTTACATTTTGGTAAAGAGTACCATTTATTTCTCCAAAAAGACTTTGGCAATGTGGTCATGATTTAAAGTGCTTGCCAGTCTTTTGGATACTTGTTTGGTCTTTTTTTTTTTTAGAAGTTGATCACTCTCTTGTATGTTTCCTCTTTTGTGTTCTTTACTTTTGAAGTCATTTTTGTTGTATTCTTTGGCCATTTTTCTGTTGCAGCATGGGTTGTTTTCTTAGTTATTTGCAAGTGTTTCATAGATAACATTTTCTGTTACATGTGTATGCTCCAAATACTTTCTTCCCTGCCTATTTTTTAAAAAAATCTTTTGCCACACAAAAACTTTAAAGTTGCATGTAGTCAATCCGTCGGTTTTATTCTTTATGATTTCTGGGCTAGCTATCATGTTTGGAGCTATCTATGTCTATGCCTGTATCTATATTATCAATACCTATATCTACATCATTTTTAATGGAGCCTTGCTTTGTGCCCCAGGCTAGTCTCAAACTCCTGGTGTGGAGCGATCCTCCTGCCTCAGCCTCCCAAGTACCAGGTGTGACAAAGGCAGCGTGCAGGGGGAGAGCCCAGGCTGGCACAGTGCTCTGTAAACCCAGCAGACCCCTCCTTATTGTGCCAGCCAAACAGTGACTTCAGATCCTTAGGTTGTCCTTTCCATTTTTGTTTGGTTTTACTAAAAAGTGGAAATCCTCATTGAGCAAAACAAATTCCAGAAAAGCAGGTAGTAACTAAAATTGCAACTGTAACTAAAATTGCAAATGGGTGGCTCATTTTTTTTCTCTTAAAAGCTTGGGTTGGCCTGGGGATTTAGCTCAGTGGCACCGTGCCTGCCTCGCAAGCCCAAAATCCCATGTTCAATCCCCAGTGCCAAAAAAAAGCTTGGGTTAAGGACAGTTGAGGTTTTCGAATTTCAAGTTTCTGGCCTGTGACTTCGGACAGTCACCAGAGTCCCGAGCTTGCTCCTACTTCGACTTTGCAGGGCAGGAACACAGGTCGTATGTCGCCTTGCCTAAGAAGATTTCTCCAAGCCGATGGCCTTGACCTCCCTGAAACACTTCCTTCACTCCGGGGGCGCCAGCCGCATTATTAATCTTTCATGTATATGGGGCTCCTCACAAGAGAATGGAGATCTAAAGAAATGACCAAAGCAGAGGACTTGTGCGTTTTAGATGAAGAGTGGTAAATTTGTGAAGAAATGCCAGCCGAGGGCGTGGGGGAACAGTGACCTTCAGGAAGGCGTTAGTGGGCACAGGGAGTAAGGCGAGGGAGTGAGGGGC